TTTTTTTTTTTTACTGTAAAACAAGCAAGTATAAGTGCAGATCACTATTGTGAATTGGTAATGCAGATTACCAGACATTAGATTCAGATACAGACCCAAAGTGTCGCCACAGGCGTTGCTTTCTGATTCCGTCTCTGTCTTCTTGTCCAGCAGGCCTTTGGTTTCTTGTAGCATCTTTTCCATATGAACCAGCTGAGAGGCGTTGTCTCCGCTGGCCCTGCGGACGAGCAGCCGTTCTCTCTCTCTCTCACTCAACTCTTTCTTACACTTACTCATCTTCTCAAAAGCACACGGTCAAACACTTGACAATGCTAGCAGAAAGAAGATGACTCCAGATGGCTTAAAACTGAATTTTGACCGTCCAAACCCTGATTTTCCTGCTACTTTGAAAACAAAGAAAGACAAAGACTTGGTTTATTACAAGAAAGACAAATCTGTGAAGTTCAACCAAACACTACCTTGTCATTCTGTTTCCTGTAATAGTCTCCCATTGCGTTTTTTTCTAATGCTTGCCTATTTCCCCTGTCTTTTAGTTAATCTAAACAAGTATTCTGTATCAACCGAAGCAGTTCTATAACTGTAAATAGTCTCTCTGCTAGAAAGGAGAAGATGGTCTTCTTTTATACTTGTTATCGAGAGCAAACTCAGCCTGCAGGCAAACAAACAAAGAGTGAATAGAGAGCTATGGCAGTCATGAGACCAGCCTGATTCACAGCCATCAGCATCGTGGCCTTTTACACTTCGCCACGCACTAATGGACAATACAGCCAGGCATTCTGCGTAACTCAACATTAAAAACAGTTTCGTCAATACCAAGATGTTCCTGTTAAATGTGATTTTTACACAACAGAGCAGGTGTGTCTCTCACACGGCTTATGGAGATCTGAACACACATAAGGATCTGCCTGAGGGCATCACGGTGCAGAGCACAGCAGCTCTTCATGTCAATACGAATAAAAATAAATGTCTTAACCATAGGCTATTTATTAAAGAAGCCCTAGCTCTGTCAGGAGCACTTCCTTCCCTGTTCGATCTCTTATTGAGGACAGTTTAGTCAGTCTTGTGATGAGTCACGAACACTTTGTTGTTAGCATGAATGCTCAGCAGGAGACAGACGATGGGTGTCCTTCTCACATGCTGGCACAAGAGTTTCCATATCTGGGACAGCATCACCACTTATAGGCTTAATGCAGGTGACTGATGAATAATGCAGTTTAATAAGCACGATTCAGGGATCATATTATGGAGCTCTGCTATACTTTTGGTAATGTGAACATGAAGGTTATATTTACTTACTGTGGTGACAGTTAGACAGCATTGTTATTGTTAACTAAATAAATATAATTGTTGGTAATAAAATAAAACTTTAAATTAAAAACTTAAATTAAAAAAACAAAAACAAATGAAAATTAGACATGTTGCCTTAGCAGCTAATTAAAATAAAACAGCTGAAGTTTGTCGAAACTAAAACTGAAAATAAAAAACTGAATTAAAGCTATACAGAATCATTAACAAATAAAACTGACAAAAGCAAATATCAAAATGACCAAAATTAAAATGAAAACTGAAAATATATATATAAAAAAAGCGAATTAAAATATGAATAAATACTATGATAATATATAATACTAAAATAAGATTGCAAGTAGATATTTGACATTTCTGTTTTAAAATTTCAACATAGTGTGAACAATGTTGGGTTTCACGAGTGTGATCTCATTTATTTAAAAACAATAATATTTTTTATATTAAATAGGTTTATTTTATACAAATACATAAATGAATAATTAAGTATTTTTATTGCAGATTAAATATTTGATATTTACTCAACATATATTATCATACAAATGTATTAATTAAAAATATGCACATTTAGTAATAGTCAAAATATTTTAGCCCTGCCAGAACTGTGGGTTATTCTGGGGTTTTCTGATATGAATAGCATTTATGTAGGCTATGTGTGCTTGTGGCTTACACTTATGTGACTGAAACACACATGGACATAAATGTATCTCCTAATATGATCAAATATCATAATAATTTCCATAAAATAACATATTTTATGATGACATTAATATTGATGTTCATAAGCAAACAAAATGTTGAGAGAGTGAACCAACAAAACACTTCTATTCATTTCGTTACACCCACTGAACCCACACTTGACTCTTCAGCTGAACACTGGGAGCATTATAACATCACATATGAGATCTACTGATTAAAAGAAAAAAAGACTAATTTTGACTCAGGGCCTCAGGCTTGTGCTTCCTTGTAAAAAGCTACTTTTATTTACTTTGATCATCTTGTTATATTAGGTTAGTTAAAATAGACATACAAGGCAAAATATGTTGAGATAATGTAAACCCGTAGAAAAAAAAATCAAAACAAATATATCATCTTTGACATGTCATGTGTCCAATATGACAGTTTCTTCATTGCATCCCACGCACTTAATTTCTCATCATTGTCAACATCACAGGTGAAATATCATTCTCTGGGAGAAATTGGAGGATTTATGGGTTGGTTTATTATTTTGGCATTTGGCAACTTTATGAAGGACTTTGTGTGGCTATTTCTCTCACAGGAAATGAGGAATAAATAAGGATGTCCACTTTTCTGCAGCTCTGGACTGCAGCTGCTGCAGGCCTGACCTTCAGTCCATTGAAATTCCTCCTGACAGCAAAACAATGTGGACTCCAGAAACTTCACTTGCAATTAAAAAGACAAATGAGTTTAGCTGAACGGCAGCAGGTGTCGCAGTCCTGAAGAGGATTACTTAGTTTTACACGAGAACAGATGAGCCGAAGATTATGTAACTTGTACTAACAGACTCCTCAGTTACTCCTGGTTACGTTTGTTAATGGGATCTGTCTCCTTGTCATATTAGAGAGGTGTCATTATATTACATTCAAAATGTACTTGTTTTTTTCCTCAAAAGAAAATAATAGATAAAAAGCTAATGGATGACATTTCTGTTGTAATTGCATATAATCAGTAGTACAAGATTCCAGCATTTTACACTGAAACCCACTGTGTAAATGATTCCACTGATAATCTCTGCTTTTCTCATCAAGAAGAGCATTTTTACCATCGTGGATAAAGGTATATCTTTTACAGAAAAAGTACCTTGCAAAATTACATTGGAAAGTCTCAATGGATCTTCTAACATAACATTCCGAGTCATTACACTACATTTTGGTTAAGCACAAGGATTTTTTCCATAACCAGTGAGTAGTCAGAGCATTTTTTTCCAAATGGTTTGTCACAGTCTGCCATTCTTGTGGTTTCCCTCTTTAACTGTGAGGAGCAAATATCTCCACTAGGTGGAGACAAAGATAGATAAGACCACCACAAGCTAATCACAGGTTAATTTGAACCTTAATTATAAAATAAACACCGATTCCAACATTAAACAGAAATTTCTGGGGGAGTCCTTAGTCGAAAAAGTGCCATTGAAATTAATAAGAATGCTAGCTTTCTATGAGTATTACAGACCTCCTTTGTAGAGCTCTCTTCTATCTATGTCTATGTAAGATGCACCGGTCCAGTTTCTCCAGCAGTGTTTGGCTTAGAAGTAAGTTCGTGCACATCCAGACAAAAGCACATTAACACAGATTCGGTAGGAGACATTCCAGCAAGTCTTACTCTCCTTGTCACACTGACCTGATTATGCTGTGAGTAATTAGCTGTATAGTGGCAGATCCTGTTTAATGTTTTGTTTATTGTCAGCTGACGTGGTTTGGCACCTCCTGTAACAAATGAAGTGAATTAGAACTGCAGTTTCCCCACACTCATTTCAAGGATTATGTAGAAAAAGGATACAGAATCAGAACTGTTGATATGGAAAACCTTATAGTTTGTTGTAGACTTCCTGGAGAAGCAGGGTTTTGAGGACGAAATGCTGGCCTGCTCAGTTCTACATAGTGTGTTTGTGTGTGCTTAATTCTTCTCAAGACACTTTACTTTTACTTTGCAAGGGCACAGATGAATGATTTTCATCTTCAGTGCTTCCTGTCAGCCTCGGCACTGGAGAACAGACTAATTTATAGCATGGGCAACCTTTCTTCTGTCCTTAAAAGTCTAGTGTCCTTATTTAACTGTTCAGAAGATACAGAAATACATACGCCTTCAAATATCAAAAAATAAAAAATCTATCCATCCATCCATCCATCTATCTATCTATCTATCTATCCTTAAAATAAAAATCTGAGTTACAGAGAGGAATCTAGAATGGAAGTGAATGGGGTCAGTCCATAAATGTTAAAATACGGTTTCAACTTTCAACCATAATTCTCACCATAATTTTAGTTTGGGAAAAAATATTACTACCGTTTCTGTGTAAAGTTATATCCAATTTTACAAATTTGCTGCCTAAAATGACCGCATAATTCAAAAGAACAGTTTTTCAACTTACACAAATAATAAATGTGCAAAACACAGTTGCAAGAAAAAGTATGTGAACCCATTGGAATTGGTTGGTTTTCTGCATTAGTATCATTACTGATCTTCTAGTATAGACAAACACAATGTGCTTATGCTTACAACCGACAAACAACAATTATAATATTTCATGTCTTTACTGAACACATTCACAGTGATGTGGAAAAGATAAGTGAACTTTACTTTAGTAAGTGAACTTTTTTTTCACGAGTCCATTGTTTGTTCTAAGCAGTTAAACTGCCCAGTGTTCTTCAGAAAAATCCTTCAGATCCTGCACATTGTTTTGCTTCCAGCGTATTCTGCATATTTAAACAACAGTAACTAAGATTTTAAGATCTATTTTTTTTTTTCAAACTGAGGACAACTGATGGACTAATAATACACAACTATTACAAAGGAGAATGTAGGTGTAAGAATCTTTAGGGGGTGTAAGAATCTTCTGTAGCTTCTGAAAAAAATTATGTTTAAAGAAAATTAGAAAAAAAAGTTATAGAAAAACAGAAATTCCAGTACTTTTTCTTGCCATTCCAAAATAACATCAGTGCTTTTATAAAATAATTAGATTTGCATTTCTGCATTTTAATCCTCTAAAACTCGGCCTAATTTACTGTAATTCCATTCTAAGTGCCTACAATAACCTTCTTTAGTTAAAATATTTTTTAAAAGACAGCAAAATTCAAACAACACAGCTTTTATTGTCTTAAATACAACAATGAATGTAAACCAGAACAACTTACTCTCTACACTCTGTTCAAAACGTTTTAGAAGCGTCATCATTCAGAGACAAAAAGAGCAACAAGAAAATGCATTTTTGGTATTCTACAAAGATTCAAGCAACACCCATCAAGTAAACAAGAGCTTAGAAAACTGCCCACATGCAAAACAACTGCAAAGAGGTCATTGTTCCAGTCCTTGATATAGTACCTGTACAATGAGAACAAAATGACATGTGACTTCGGTCAACTTAAGCTTCAACTGATCAGTCTTTCTCCCCAAAATAAATAAGCACTGACAGGATGCAGTAATCCAAAGAGTCCCATCAAAACATTGGCTGTATTCCAGTCCAGGAGGCCATCAGTGATGTGTCTCCAACTCCACTATGGTCCACTCGCCCTGTGGAGATGCAGCGTCCTCGGGAGAGAAGCTGGTCACAGTGATGCTGGTGGTGGAGTCCTCCAGTGGAGAAATAAGCTCGGCCCAGCGCTTAAATGTGTCCTTTTCGTGATACAAGTAGTCCTGTTCATTCAAACAGTCTCGAGACAAGGACAGCGTCTGCTTGATCAGATACTGTGCAAGGTTTAAATCCTCTGGGACTGAGTTTATGATGCCCAGATTAGATTCTTGGTCAGACAGTAGCTGTCGAAGCAGACTCCAGTCTTTCTCTGCAAACTTACTGTCTTCGCTGTCCACTTCCTCTTTAACGTCTTCTGTCTCTACTCCTTTACCCTCCTGACGTGACTCCTCCTGTTGGGGATCATTGCTTCTGTCAGCATCCATGCTTTGTTCGAGGGCTTCTCCCAGGTCCATCTCGTAAATTGGGGACAGGGCTTTAGACGGCCGCCGGTCATGTGTGCAGGTTTGATCCAATGTGTCACAACCATCAAAGTCCCCTAAAAATAATTGACAATACTGCACAATGACCAAGTGTTTTATCCTTACGTGGGCTTTTTTAAATTTTCTTGAAGACATGCGTTGTTTCTAGCTCCACACGATGTACAAAATCACCCCTAGTGCAACTGTGTCCTCCGTGATGCAGTTAAGCTTGAAATAAGACTAGATGAAAAAAATATATACTTTGTCTTAGGCAGTTTTCACTTTTCATTGTCATTAATCAAGATCTGATTCAATGACACATGCATTACAATTAAGCAGATGTGCAAATCCAAAGTTTTCCATGGAGCAACTCTTGACTTTCCATGGCCTATCCATGGAGCAACTTCTGAATTTAGGATAAGGATGGACAGCTGCCATAAAGGTGATGCACAGAAGAAAGCCTACACTGAATGTGTCTCTTTTGTTCACAAGTGCTGTAACAGTAAAAGGCATGTTTTGCCAGCCACTGTATCTCCAGCATAACTTAAGTTTGGTTCACATACAAAAGATATGAATTCTCTAGTTCTAATCAAACTGAGCATTTGTTGTCCTTAAATATACACATCGAAATGCAAGCAAGCACTTAACGCTTTTTAGTTTATACTTCTTAACGTAAAGATACACTGAAAATATGAAGGACATGCTGGCAAAAGAGTGCTTATTGCTTTACTTATCAAGATATGGTTCTTATAAAGATAAAACTCACAAAAAAACATCAACAGTGATTAGAATCATGATACAAGTGTGAAAAAAGAGAGACATGAGGAGGACCTTGAGATTGTTTCTCTAGAAACACAACATACAGAAGAAAAATACTAATTCTACAGAAATACACAATTAAATTAAATCTGCAACATAAAAATCTGGAGTTGAGAAAAAGTTGCCTACTACAGAACTACGGATGGTGTGATATATTGTGAATGAGAAATAAAATGAATCAAAAAACACACAAAAATGGATACAAACATGGAATTTCATAAATGAACAAAATCAATAATGAAACCTAGTATTGGCATGCAAGATTTCCTGGTTTGGGTTACTTAACACAGTCTTGAAAAATAAGACAGCAACAGACTCAACATTGATATTGAGTATAAAAAAACATCTAGGTTGTTCTAACACATTCGAAGCATCATGGTCTCTGCAGAAGGTGTGGTCCGTTATGTGCAGTATTAAAGTATATTTCTATGTATATATTTGCTGGCCAAGTCACATGGAGCTTGTCTTTTGCATAAAGATCACTTATGGAAGAGTCAACATATAAATGACTTGGCCTATGAGGAAGAAGCTCATTATTTAGTATGGATAATGACAAACAAAAACGACTGAGGACTTAAGTGCACTGGTACAACTGTGACTGCCCAGCCATGCCACATAACAGATGGTCTGACTCAGCATACTTCACCACACGCAGATAGATATTTGACTGTAAATATTAAGCTTGTAAACTTGTTAGTTGAGTTATTTAGGGCATTGCGCCTCAGAGAAGGCAATTTATTTGTGTGTATAGCTTATTGAAATATTAGATTGCAAAGGATAGACATCTAAATAAGAGAATTAAAGGAAGAGGGAAAGGAGGCAGTAGTGTGCTACTATCTAAATCAATGAGCTATCAAGATTTAGCCCATTGAAGATGATTGGAGGTCAAAGGAATTGTCTGAATATTTAAGTTGAATGGGTCAGGATGGGAGACTGTGAGTAAATGTTTCTGAGGCTGCGGTCAGGGGAGATGGGCTCTAATGTTATACATTACCTGCTGGAGAGTGTGCGGGTGAGCTCGCAGTCAGCTGCGGCTCAGGTAAGTCTAGCCGCAAGTCAGCTTTTCTGCTGTCTATATGTTTGGACTGGAGATTGTCATACTGTTCCACCAGCCGGAGGTCCAGGTGACTAGGGCGCTCCTGAGCAGGAATGTCTCTGGTGTCTTTGTCTTGCACAGGGGCATCTGATTGATTATATGCACAATCCTCCTGTGGAGATCCCTGGACCTCTGTCAGGAATACTGCAGGTTTGGGCTCCTGTTCATTTTCCTGGTGGTTGGAGATATGGTTGGCCCTCACTGTGCTTGTGGACTGCTGGGAGCGGTAGTCTGTCTGAGAATTGTGAGGTTCACCATCGAAGACATCACCATGTGCAAAGGAATCACTTGACTGGTGTGTCGGAGTCTGGGCACCTCCTTCTTCACATCCAAGTTCCTCGCACTCATCCACCGAGAGTAAAACAGAGCGACGGAAGTTAGAAGCTGACTGGTACTCTGGTTGCTCATTCTCTTGTTCTGCAGGATCTTCAAATGCAAGGTTGACAATACCTTGAAACTGTGGAGGTGGCTCGGCAATTGGGGGAGCCATTCCCCTCGGTAACACCTCAACTTCTGATCTTTCATCTTCAGTCTCCTCCTCTTCTTCCTCTTCCTCTTCCTCTTCTTCTTCAGAGGAGAAAAGTTGGTGGTCCTGCATGCCCTTAAAGTTTTTTAATGTAGTATCCATTTCACAAGGTTCCTCCTCCACTGGCACCTCATCCTTTCTAATCCAAGAACGTGGCCTCTGACGCCCTACCTCTTCTTCACTTGTAGTTTCTGCCTCTCGTCCTCTGAGCCGTACCTCCACACGTAGTCCAGCCCCACTCTCGTACATCTTGAGCTCCTCAGGTGTGCTGGTGTCACTGCTGCTGCGACCCAGGAAGTCAGGGCAACGCATAGTCCCACACTTTGAAGCGCCATGCTCATGGGAACAGCAGTCGTCATCTTGCGAGCCACCAGCATCATAATCCTCTGACCGTGGCTTTATGTCATCAGAAGAAGTAGTGGCACTGCCAGTCTCTGACTCTGGGCTAACTTGGGGATGAAGCCCATTCCATGAGTCCTCTAGGGGTGTCTCAATGCTCCCTAGACTGCAAGGTGTATCAGGAGGGAGGTCTGAGTCCTTTGAGGAGTTCATGGAATTGAGGACTTGTTCTGGTCCAGTGACATGGGGTGGAATGGCATGGCCTGTGGCCAGTTTACTTAGGCTTATCTCACTCTGCCCAGAAGTACATGTATGCATGTCCGGAGTTACTGACTGAGTCGTCACTTCTTTGCTTCTTAATTTACTCACTAGATCACTGCTTTTCTCCATATCTTGAACCTTAGCGGAAGTTGCTGATATACCCTCAGGAACCGTTTCTTGCTGGTCTAGTACAGCTGGGCTGACTAGTGAATGCTGCTCCAGGGAAGAAGGAACTTTGGAACTCTCCAGACAAGATGTGACCAGTTCCTTGCTTCTTGTCTTACCTTCGGTAGAATCTGGATTCAACTGCTGAGTGACCTTTTTAAAGTCTGAATGTTTAGGGCTGGATACTGAATCTTTCACAGCAGTGCCTGGCTTTTTAGAGCCAGCAGGAGTTTTGACGGCCCCTGAGGACTTTAGAGATGATTTTGTTGGAAGTGTTTCTGGAGTCTTCTGTTTAGGTCCTGTTTTGTTTGGGGCAGAAGGCGACTGCCTAGAGGAAGACGTGGAAGCTTTGACACTGGGCCTTGACTCAGGGATGGCCTTTGTGGTCTTCTTTGTAGTTGCAGGTTTAGATGTATCTTTCTCTACCTCTTTTCTTGGGGAAGCAGGCTTTCTAGAGCTAAGGGCTGAACCAGGTCTGGATGAAGCTGTTTAAAAGAGGAAACAGACTTGAACTCATTATTGTTAATAACAAATTACTTTTAGATCCATTCTGAAGCTTGAGTATTTCTTACCAAGGTTCTCTGACACGGTGCTTTTGCTCTTTGGATCTGAGCGGGATGCAGGAACTCCAGGTACTGCACGACTGGTTGTGGTAGGTTTAGTCTTGGTTGATTTATTAGTGGGGCTGTAAACACAATGAAGGATCAAAGGACTATCAACTGGAAGAAAGTGGAGAAAGTAAAAACAGTAGTGCAAGTGTGAGGATCACAGCCTGGTTGTTAACATAACTCACCTGCTAGTCTTGTCAGTGTCTGGTGTTTGAGCAGGTTTGGTCAGAGGAGATTTTGTTGTTGCCTTGGCTTGAAGTTTTGACCTGAGACCTACAATATAAAAGGATTATTAAGTCACTTATTAAGTAAAACCACACAACATTTTTATAAATGACATTGCATGTTGACAATACAGAATGTAGTAATTTAAAAACAATTTTAAGATAATAATTTAAACATTTTTTTTTAACATATAGCCCATTAATCTAATTAAACAGAGCACTATCCATCACAATCCTGGTCTCAACATTGTCTGCACATAAAAAATAAATAAATTGTGATATTTTTGTACCTTATTGTAAACTGGTATTTGTCCTGCAGAACCTCTGTGCTATCTAAACCTACATTCCTTAAGAACTGTGAGCAAGGTAACAGGCATGTACAATTTTAGTAGTGCTAAGCAGCTTAATGATGAGCTAAAACCTACTCTGCTGAGCAAAGACTCTCTGAGTCACAGAGAAGTCAGTACCAGGCAAACACCAGCTAATGAGCAGGGAAAAGGGAAGAGATACTGTATCTATATTTTTACCTCTGGATTTCAAGATTCAGAATTTTCTCTCCCTCTCAACTGCAGTACATTCCTTCACTCTCTAACCTTCCTTTCCTGTTCTAATTTTCAAACTTTTATTGAAACTCAGAAGCACAGATCATACTATTAATTAACTTTTACTTACAGGGACAAAAGAGTAAACCTGAGGGGGTAATCTCTAATATCAGGAGCTAACATGGGAAACTGAGGATAGCTTCTTGACTTCCAAGAACTTACAGCTGTTTTCAGATCTGAATTTCTGCTCAAACTGTTTCACTGCCTCTGGCTTTGCTGGATACCTCCACTCACAGTAAAACAAGGACTAGCTTGAGATAATAGATAGTAGAGTTTAAATTTGTCTAAAGGTAATTATGAATCAAGGTAAATTCACCTGTTGGTGTACTGTGGCCATTCTTGCGAGGACTCCGAGCGCTGTTGTCTGGTGAAGTGCTGCCAGAGTTAGATGGAGTATTCTGAGCATTGCTGGCTGATTCCTGAGGCAGATCTTTCCCTGACATTGTGTTCTTCTGCACTTTTCCTCCTCTAGTCTGGCCTGCCGAGAGATCAGACCCAGCAGGGGAAGACTTTGGCCTTGCTCCTGGGTTTGGCTTCGTGTCCATCACCGTCTTCCCTGTGGGTGAACCACGGGCACCTGAAGCAGTGGAATTCTCCCGTTGAGCACCACCACCAGTGCCATTCAGCACTGGTTTAACAGTAGACGTAGTCTTGGTTTTAGCTGGCGTTTGAGTTGGCTTAACCTTATCATTTTTACTTCTGAGTGAGGCGTTGTTACTAGCTTTTGTTTTGCCAGAAGGAGCCGTGTGAGCTGTTGGCCCTAGAGCATCAGACTTCATGGTGCCTGATGCAGCAGCTACAGATCTTGCAGGGGAAGCACGTGGACCCTGTGATACCTTAATAAGAGGATGAGTAGGGCTATCACATGGAGATGAAGTGCCCGAGAGGCATTTTGTAGGTTTCTGTTGCAGAAGGGAGAGAGATGGAGAGAGCACGAAAGACTATGATGGCTTTGCTCATTGTTAATCAGATCAGCAACCCATTTGACACAGTAATCTCAGATGTATAAGACCATAGAGCACAAAACCATGATCTTTGGATTAAAGGCTAAAAAGCACATTCTTCTTCTTCTTCTAAAAAAATGACAGCTGTTTCCTTAGCCCACGGTCTCTGTATCCATATCACTTTGGTCATATATACATATTGTTTATTTAAAGCTCAATAATGAGGTGTTTTTTCCTCTGCCTTTGTCAAGCCAGTAGTCCCTGTCTATATTTTGGCACCGAAACACATGCATATTTATACTTTCTATGGGCTTCTTATCAGGCCGTCCTTATTGTTGAGACCTGACAACAGCATCTTCAAATCTCATAGTGACAACTGTAATACAGCTGATATGATTCTGTCATCTTTAAAGAACAGAACTCTTGTAAAGACTAAAAAAGCAAACAAATATTTACATTTTCTTTAAGATAATATTTCATCCAGCTATGTTTTCAAGCTCAGTAATTCTGCAGCACCTTCCCTGAATCAACCTTAACGTTGTTGTGATGAGACAGCTCTCATTTAACAGCCATTTAATTTCAGTTCAATCAGCTTGTCTTTCAGTAAAAGAAAACGTTATAAAATCAGAACTTACAGTTCTAACAGAGCCTATGCCAGTAAATCACTTTATTTCTAGTGGTCAATCGATATTGAGTTTCTAAATAGCTGATGCTGATATAGATATCTAGAAAGCAGATTGGCTGAAAAAATACAGATAGATACACTTTACAATTTAATGAAAGCAAACAGGACTGTTCAATTTACAGTAAAAGAATGTATTTTAATTTGACAATATTTACTCAATATAATCATAATAATTAAACAAAATTACTTCTGTTTATTTGTGATGCAGACAATCTCAAAATGACCAAATATTGCCTAATTAATCAACCTGGGCCAAAATATCTGTATGTATCCCATCATTTTTCAGTTTTACCAAAATAAGCAACAGAATAAAAATTACCTGAGAGCTGGTGAGCACAGGTTTTTTTCCAAGCCGTCTACAGTCTCCTTTATCAAGAGCAGCTGAGAGGGTTGGTGGAGGGAGGAAGAAAATAAAAACTAATTTTAGATTACAGACAGCTTCAGTCTAATTAGAACATCCACTCCTGCATAATCAACATTTGCCAAACATTTCCTCAATCAGACACGCAAATACTTGCAGACTTGCAATCAGTCACAACCCCAATCAGTAAAAGTGGCAGCGCAGCTCTGCAGAGAACCACTGATTTCCTACTCCTTCATCTCAGATAGAGACAGCGCAGATCTAGACTTTGATCATCTCACAGCTTATCCAGAGCATTCTTTAAATCATCAGAAAAAAACAAAGACCTAGGCTTCGTTCCCAGCAATACAACCGAGCTCTGATTTCATTGCTGTCATCCACGAAATCAATCTAAATCATGGATCAAATAGCTCCTGTAAAGGAATGCAGCTGGAGTGTTTGTGTTTGCTGTTGAACGATGAATGCTTTGCATATGAGCCACCGCATTTGCATGCCTTTACATATGCGAGGGAATCTTTAGAAAGCACAATCTTGACACCTAAAGCAATGCATAATTTATGCACTAGCATATATGTTTCCACCTGCAGAATAGAACAACACAAAATCCACTGCATCTCATTGTGGACCCCATTCTCCAACCCCCTTGGAAATGCTTAATGTTTTGATGTGACTGTATTCTAGCTCTCAATGTTCAAAGCATCACTGGGTCATATTAAAGGACTGTTGTTGAAGGACTGACAGGAGCTGGAGGTTATCTCTCACCAGCACAGGCTACCCAATATCCATGCAAAGGAGGGCTCTTCATCACTGCACTGGACCACTAAAAAAAATTCTGACTGCTGCATAGTTTTGAACACCAAGCTTCTATTGAAAGCTGTTCATTTCTTATGATCTTCTCTCTTATCCTCCTCTATTTTATACTTTACCTTCTTCCCACATTATTTACGTTTAATTTCCATTCCCCTTTCTTTTGCTATTGCTACATTCTTACATTTTCTCTTTCCTCTCCTTACCTGCGAGTATTTTTTCTCGATATCTGGGTTGCAGTGCGTCCCATCCTTGTGTGTGCCGCACTGCAAAGAAGGACTGAAGCAGGAAGGTCCAGAGCTTCGTGCGCAGCGAACACAGCTCACGCCTGAATGGCTACCGGAGGGACAGAATGAGTGAGAGAGGGTGAGCGAGTCAGAGAAAAAGAGAGAGAGAAGGAGGGAGGGTGGATACAACAGCAGGAGAACAGGAGCGAATCAGCAGCTGCTTCAAAGGCTGGTTGTCTTGGCAACCGATCGTCGTTGCCTCCCTCCACCCTTAACAGGATCCAGCTAAATGGATGATGTCAGTAGCAGAGGCTTGTGTTCCCGCCTTCTGCACCGAATGTTCATTAAAAAAAAGAACCTGTATTTTTTCAGATTCTGCCTCAGCCTTTCCATCCGCAGTTTATTTCTCCCACGTCCCTCCCTGCCTTCCTCTATAATGGACATGGAACCAGATTAGACATGGCCACACCCACGACTCTTGGTCTTTCTCAGACTAATCCATTCTGCCATTTCCCCTGGGATGTGAATGAACTCACAAAGAGACAGGAAGCGACAGAGATGGCCAGGGAGAAATATAGAAAAACAGAAAATGACGATAAGTACGAGAGGTGGAGTTGTTTACCATGACCTTTTCTATTTGTAGTGTCACTTTACTGTAATCCGGCCTGGCCATGTACATTACATTAAGCGAGTTTAAATCCCAGGATCAAATGAAGCGCTTTGTACACGTGCCATTAAATACAGAGAATGTGCTCAGCAGACCGTTGCTGCAGTTATGCACTACTTGATGAAGCACAGAAAATCTATCCATCAATTATTGTAATAACTACTGTACACCACTGATTCATTTAACATGTTAAAATCAACATGAAATCATGATGTACCTTTTAAATGCATGTGGTTTTCAATTCTTTATGAAAACGTAATGACAAAGTCTGAAATGGTTGTTCTTTTTAGCTGTTGTCACTAATCCTACTTTTACAACAGTTTTCCCTTAACCACTATTCTGGTATGACCAGTGCACAGTAGTGCCACCATGCTTTGAATATCCTGTTTCAATTGGAAAAGTAAAAACATGTACTGTAAATACAGAATGCTCCACCTTTCAATATGCAAATCGATACAAGATGAAATTGAATTATGTATTCCTCAGATTTACTTTATATTTACCAAAACAGAACAGACAGTTCTGATCTGGATTGCTTAATAAAATAATGTTTAAATGAAAACCTGTATAAACATGTAATAAAATCATGCATTCGGGGCTGTGCTGTATTTTTAATATAGATAAGGTTGAAGGAATTGCAGGTATTCCACTGCAGGTTGTGCCTAATCTCTGACAAACGACAGACCGGAAGTCATTTACTTCCAGTGGAGAGTAGTATGGGAGCTGTGTGAGGTTCTGACTATACATATATATATATATATATATATCTGAGCATACAGAAATCTCAGATCAGATTTGCAGCTACGGACCACACTGTCCGACTGCATGTGATGCTTTCAAATCAAAATATGATTGCAATGAGAAAATAACCAATACTTTTGCACTAAAACTGTATTTTTTAAACACTATTTCTACAGAATTATGTCAAATGAATTATTTCTGTAAAAATAATTCTATTCAAAATAATTATTTTATAATAAATACACAATTATTTATGAAAACCTACTATGCTTTTCTTTCAAACATATTAGCTGTTCATTGTTTTGTGTGGATATACAACAGCCATCTTGCTTGGCTCAATAAAAATAAATGATTCATTTACTAAATGATCTGAGTTGTAATTAAATGCTGGCTTGTAGTGTTCTTTGTTTACCTCCTGATTGGCTTGGTCTTCTGTGATAACATCTACCTCATTCGGGTCACCGCTCAGCCGGTTCACAGCAGTGAACAGGTCACAGCAGTTCTCCACAGTAACGCCCTCCCGCACGGCTACGCACACCTTCCTCAGGAGAGTGGGGTCACATGTGAACTCCTCTCTCTGAAACGGTACATGCCTGATTGTCATAGCTGATAAAACATTTTATATCATATGCCTAAACATCATTAATTGGTCTTACCCTTCGGAGATCGTGGAAGGCAGCAGTGTGTGTGACCTGGGGCAGGTGTGTGACAGTCATCTGCAGACACTGTTCTTGCAGTTCACTAGCCAGACTCAGCACCTGCTTGGCCCATTTCACCTCCGGCAGGCTGCCAATCAGCTGCTCGCTGCCACACAGCACAGATACTACACTCTGCACCGTCTGAAACACATCACAATGTTACACACATACTCTACTACACCATCTGAATCCATCTTCCCTGCTTCTCATGCTGGTTGCACTGTTGGTGACTACAAATTTCCTAGTGTAATCCAATATGCTTCAGCAGTGGTTTACATCAAGGTTGGAAATCAGGAGAGGGAAAACCCAGTGTTATATAACTACACTTGGCTGACTGTAGCTGCTGAAGTTCTGGGTCTGTGTGTGTGCGTGAGAGAATTTTAGGGGACTGCCAGACTATGGGTTAAGTGAATGAGCTGTTTGTGGGCTTAACGCGCGCACACACACACAAAGCCACTCAATCAAGTCCTCTAATTGTTCTTTAGTCAATAGCCATCCTCAAAACAGAGGCCACAGCTCATCTCATCAATGTCTTATTGTAGTAGGATACAGACAGAAGCAGAAGGACAGTAAGGAATGAAAGGAAACATGGGTTGTTGTCTATGCTGTTTCCCACTAGAAAAATGTCAAAGGGAAGTCCCCACCACAAGAGAAAACAAATATGTGTCTGAGTATTACACACCATGTTTTTGGTGACATTATTAAGGCAATCTCTCTGTAGCTCTGGAGGGAGGAGGGCAAAATTTCTTTCTGACCAGCACTTCACAAAGTGCTCAGCTACCCATCTGTGGATTGAAATAAACATCAAGAGCGTAAGCTTTTATCTTCATTTTTAATTACAAATAATTAAAATGTAAAACTTCCTGCACAATTCCTGCTAAGCTACAAAATTAGCTTTTGCCACGGTAACTTAAAAGACAGTTTAAAAACTGTCTTTTAAGTTACAGTGAAATGAAACAGTTCAGCCCAAAAAATAAAAATAAAATCCAGTATGGTATAGTATTTATAATTTATTCTGTCAGACTTCAAAAAGCAAAAAACTACCATAAAATTGTAAACGTTATAAGTAAAACTTCATGTTCCTCACATAAATGCTATTGTACATCCTTAGAAGACTTGGAATATAGTGGACTAGTCATAGAAGTATTTTTGTAGCACTTTTATTGTTTTATAGTCTTTTTTTATCTTTTTTGGATCTTGTCAGCATTAATATGTCAATATAAAAAATTCTGTTAAATATTCAAGCCAAACATCTGGGTTCAAACAAGAGAAGAAAAACATTTCAAACAGCATGTGAAAATGATGATAGAACAGCTTAGGGTGGGCGAAACAACCAAAATCTTAAAGGGATAGTAGAAAATGTTGTCATCATTTCCTCACCCTCATGTTGTTCCAAACTTGTATAGGTTTCTTTCTTATGTTGAACATAATAGAAGTTATTTTGAAGAATGCTGGTAATGAAAGAGTTGATGGTCCCCATTGACTTCCATAGTATTTATTTCCCTGCTATGGAAGTCAATGGGGACCAACAACTGTTTGGTTCTTCAAAATATCTTCTTTTGTGTTCAGCACAAGAAAAAAACATACAGTACAGGTTTGGAACGACACGAGGGTGAGTAAATGATGACACAATTTGCGTAACTATTCCTTTAAATCCTGATATGCATAAATTTAATTGACTGTGATGATAAATTACTAAACAAACTATGTATATATCCAACTTTACACATACACTTACTTATAAAGCATTATATACTAATAGCAAATCTCAACTGGTTGATAATTTATGTCAGTGTCAAATTTAAACTGCTCTAACCTTGTGGACTATATGAGGCATTTAGGTATGAATGAAGCTGCTTGAAACTACTGTATGTGTATTGTGAAAAGCTCTATACAAATAAAAAGTTCTTTCTGGAAGAGTTATCCCAGTGATCTAGGTTAGTAACACTAGGGCAGTAGGTTCAGCAGGTACTGGACTGGCACCGAACTGAAAGCAGCAGTGCTGCGCTGATCTTACACCATCAGATCATTGATGCTGTACTGAGAGCCTCTCATCCTGATGCGTGACTCTTCACCCTCCTACCCACGGCGGAGGCAGCACCAAAACATCACAGAAACAACACACGCACACAGTCTCTCTCTTTCTATCTCTAAGGCACTGGAAAAATCCCGACCTACATTCACACGCCTCTCTGAGCTGCTTTACCGCAGTGCACGGAGTTTACAGCAAAGACAATTCAATGACAGAGCTGACTAATTAAGTAATGGTGATGGTACGAAATTATTAAAGGTCAGTTTCATTCATTTTTCTTCTGCTGTCCAAGTTGTCAGTCAAAGAATCTTGGGACATATACATATCTTAATATTTCTATCTATTTACCCCTACAAAATTAAGAGTAAAATCAAAGAGGAATTACTTTATTAGGATTTTTTTTTTTTTTGCATGGCCACCACAATCTAAAGATGGAAATAATTTTTCATTTAAATCAGACTTTTTGTACTGCCTAGGGCCTAGAGGCCCTTTTATACCCAATGTGAAACAAACAAATTGTTGACGACTGGTCTAATCATACCAAGAGCAAAGCCAATACCGTTCTGTATAATAGGGGTGAAAACATTTTTCAATTGATCTGCCAACCGGGTAACAGAAACAGCTCTGCTAGAGAAATATAGGATGCTAGACAAGCAAACCAGCTCAAGAATCTTGTCTAATGTCAGACATAAGCCATAAAAACATTTACATACTTTTCTGAATAAACCCCATATTATTTCTATCTATTTACCCCTAAAAAATTAAGAGTAAAATCAAAGAGGAATTACTTTATTAGGATTTTTTTTTTTTTTGCATGGCCACCACAATCTAAAGATGGAAATAATTTTTCATTTAAATCAGACTTTTTGTACTGCCTAGGGCCTAGAGGCCCTTTTATACCCAATGTGAAACAAACAAATTGTTGACGACTGGTCTAATCATACCAAGAGCAAAGCCAATACCGTTCTGTATAATAGGGGTGAAAACATTTTTCAATTGATCTGCCAACCGGGTAACAGAAACAGCTCTGCTAGAGAAATATAGGATGCTAGACAAGCAAACCAGCTCAAGAATCTTGTCTAATGTCAGACATAAGCCATAAAATGAGATCTCTGAGGACCTCAGAAAAAGAGTTGCTGTTGCTCATCGGGCTAGAAAAGGTTACAAAAACATCTCAAAAGAGTTTGGACTCCACCAATCCACGGTCAGACAGATTGTGTACAAATGGAGGAAAGTTAAGACCACTGTTACCCTCCCCAGGAGTGCTCCACCAACAAAGATCACTCTAAAAGCAAGACGTGTAAAAGTCCACTAGGTTTCAAAGGACAGCAGGCTAACTTGCAGTTTGCTAAAGATCATGTGGACAAGCCAGAGGAATACTGGAGAAATGTTTTGTGGATGGATGAGACCAAAATAGAACATTCTGGTTTAAATTAGCAGCGTTATGTTTGGAGAAAGAAAACACAGCATTCCAGCACAAGAACCTTATCCCATCTGTGAAACATGGTGGTGGTAGTATCATGGTTTGGGCCTGTTTTGCCATCACTGATGCAACAATGAATTCTGAATTATACCAGCAAATTCTGAAGGAAAATGTCAGGACATCTGTCCCAGAACTAAATCTTAAGAGAAAGTGGGTCATGCAGCAAGACAACGATCACAAGCACACAAGTCGTTCTAACAAAGAATGGTTAAAGAAGAACAAAGTAAATGTTCCGGAGTCGGACCTTAATCCAATTGACAAAATAATGTTCTTTTTAGCAGCATCATATGACCCCTTTAACAATTGTGCCAAACATTAACATTTGATGTGAAAATGGGTTTGTTTTAACTGTTTAATAAATATCTGCAAAACCGATTGCATCCACATTTGGACAGCATAACCTCAGAAATAAAAAGCATTTTGAAACCTGTATTATTTATTGATTTATTTAGTCATTTATTATTTAGTGATTCATTTGCACTGTACAGTGCACTGCATATGACTCTTAATGGAGCAGTACAATCAGAAAAGAAGAGAGAGTCATTTTAAAAACCATTATTTAAAGCAGTAGCATCCACAGAAGTGCAGAAAATGCCTCACCTCACACAGGAGCAGTAGAGATCCTGCAGGCCTATAGAGTGGGTAATGGCGAGGCACTCCAGTATAGATCTCTGAACTCCATCAATGGGCTGCAGAAAATGAGAAGGACTGACTCTTGATATTCACACCTCATCTCAAACATTTTAGTGGATCGATAGCCTGAAGCCTGCCACAAGCTAATATACAGTATAGAGTTCAGCTGTCTGTAGCTTGTGTTTAATTATATTTTATTCAACTTAAATCATACTTACACTGAAGAACTTCATGAAAGCTACAATTTGCAAAATTTCTTCAGAAATTACTATTACAAAGCACCTGATTACCAGTAAATGATGGAGAAATGCCTCTTTATGGGTTATTACAAATCATACATGATAAGGGGAAAATTAAAGCCATTCTATTCGTATGGTGAAATTGTATGGTCACTGAAGCTCAACAAGTGAAATCACCCATGAACAAATCACCGTCAATCACAGAAATGCCAATGTGAACACTACAGGAAAACTGTATCTTGACATGTACACTGTTAAAAATAAAGGTGCTTAAAAGGTTCTTCACAGCGATGCCATAGAAGAACCATTTTTGGCTCCACAAAGAACCATTCAGTCAAAGGTTCTTTAAAGAACCATCTCTTTCTTTATCTTTTTATAATTTGAAGAACCTTCTTTTGCCACAAAGAACCTTTTGTGAAACAGAAAGGTTCTTCAGATGTTAAAGGTTCTTTATGTAACCATTTAGACAAAAAGGTTCTTCTATGGCATGGTGAAACACCTTTATTTTTAAGAGTGTAGCAGGCAGAAATATACAATTTGCAAAATAGAATCAAAAGCATTAAAGTCTGGACCACTGAATTATGGACAATTATAGAATTAGTTTTTAACTAAGACTATGTTCATAAAGTGAGAGCAATGTTGTTTTGTTATTGACTAATTCTAATTTTACTATTTATATATTAGATTGTGTTTGCAAGTGTTTTGATGGAGTTTGCAAAATACAATATTTGTTTGTGCGAGTGAGACGAAAAAAACCTCTGCTGAATAAACGTATGCTATGCGTGTCAATAGGAAATTGCCAAAATGTAATTTTGGGGGGAAAAAAATAATGCATTATTTAATATAAAATTGAGTGGAATAAATGCCGTTTTCAATAAAATGCTGTTTATGAAAGAATCCTAACAACAAATGTTTCACATTCCACAAAAATATTAAGCAGCACAACATTGACAACAATAGGAAATGTTTCTTGAGCACCAAATCAGCACATAAGTATGATTTCTGAAGAATCAAGTGACACTGAAGACTAGAGTAATGGCTGCTGAAAATTCACCTTTACCATCACATGAATAAAATAAATTTTAAAATATACTGAAGTAGAAAAGTTGTTTTAAATTGTAAAGGCATTTTACAATAAAATAATTTTTACTGTATTTTTTTTAATCAAATAACTGCAGCATTCAGGGCCGTTTCTAGCCAATTTGACGCCCTAGGCGAAATCCCCTCTAGCCCAATAATGTTGAGGGATCCAGTGGGGGCAGTCATATTTCAGGGTGACCGTGCCACTCTTTATCACAACCCTGCTAAAAGTGCCAGTACGTGCGCTCATTGGCGCCCCTTCAGCTGGTGGCACCCTAGGCGACCGCCTAGCTCGCCTATGCCTAGAAACGGCCCTGGCAGCATTGGTGAAAATAAAAGATTTCTTTCAAAAACATAAAAAAAAATCTTAGCATCCCCAAATCTTTAAATAGTTTATCAAAAGTATTATGCATTTCTGTAGGGGGAAAACTAAATTCTTAGCATACTAAGACCTTTAATCAAGTCTTTCCAACACTTAAATGGTAAAATTATTTTGAAAGAGTAGAGGGAGTAAATGCATTCCTCTTTCATCTCTGTGTAGGATGGCTGAAAAGTACACAAACTAGCCTTGTCTTTAAGTATTCTTGAAAGGTGGGAGTGAGAATGAAAGACTCAGAAGCACAAACAAAACTGCTCTTCACGAATTTGTGAGAAGGCTGTCAAACACTATGCTTCTTGACTTGCACTGCCTCCCACTACTGCTTTTGTAACAGAGATCTTACGATCATGACAGTCTGCACTTGCTGTGTAAACATGGTGTGAGTCTGCTGCAGTGCTTCTATTCTAAGAGAAGAAGAAAAATGGCAAAATATGGCTGAAGAAAGAGATGTTACACCCATATCAGACAACTTAAATGAGAGGAATCCTCATCTGGAGCCACAACACAGGGATAAGGCCATTTTGGCTGACAAATTAAATGCTCTACAAAAGCTGAACCAATGCCCAGACTTTACTCGCTCACAAACACAAATCACATAATGTGTCCCTAAAGGCTAATAAACGACAAGATGATAGTACTATTGGCGCTACCTGACAACAGACTCACTGCTTAAAAAGACTATTTACACTCCTCACCTTTAATAGACTGAATGTGTGTGCCGTGACCCCATCCTCTCTCTTACCTTGGGGAAAAAGCGGCAATAGTCCCGAGTCAGAACCATCTCGGCCACATCTTTCAGCCCCTCCAGGCCCAGCATGTCTGCTGCTAACACAACCTGACTGAACTCAAACACAAAAAAACATACGTCTTGACATTCCTGCCAAATCTGACTAAAGCCATTGCATTTTTTGCATTTACCACATTGGAAGAAAGGAAATATCACAACAGAGGGTGTTTACCTGACATTTGTTCCTGGTGGGAAGTCTAGGATGGCACCGTACATGAAATGAAGCAGAATTTCCATTTCATCTGGACCAAGACTGATTGATTAAAAAACAAAAAAAACATTTAGATCATGACATTTTACAAGCTCTACAAAAAAACATTTCACAATGAGGTCTCATTTGTTAACATTAATGCATTTGCTAATATATTTTTTATAACATTTATCTACCTTTGTCCTTTGTTAATGTTACATAGTAAAAAAATGTGTAGTTTGTAGTTCACTTGCGTATAAAAACTGAGACCTTATTATAAAATAAATATCTTGTTTGTTTTTTTCAAAATGTGCTGTTAAAGACCCCATTAAATTATTTGCACAACACAGTTTTCAGTTCTGTGTTGACATTTACTATTGAAAAAGGAAGTTGGGGTGGACATATTTAGTTTATGTCACAGCCTGGCAAAACCAAGATTCAACCTTTGAGGATTTCTGGCCACCACCTACATCTTCACCTACACTTGTAGACCAGCCAGAATCAGAGATCAGATCAAACTCTTCTGAAGATCTGATGAGGAGGGCTATAGTGTACTATCAACATTAACAAAATAAAAAGACGATTACTTTTTCCAGACATTGTGTCACAGAGCTCAGGAAATCAGCAACTAGTATTATGTTCTCCTGTTCTGTTACAGTAAAAGCTAAGTGTGGTTTTAGAAGAAAATCAGCTCTGATCTCATACATGGACTAAAATCCACAAAAAGTCTCATTTTTATACACATCATGGATTGAACTGCTTGTCATGAAACACTACACGAAGTATCCTGGTTTTCCCAGACACAGACTGAGCAATGAATAATTGATAGCTGGTAGGCTGGAAGATCCTCATCAGGTAGAAGATCTGTCTGAGAACTCGTGCTGAACTCTGGAACATGTGAGGTCACACACATGACCTCTCAACTTAACTGGTTTTGTGAATATAAATGTTATCAACTGTTGTAAAAGTGGCCTGCAGTATCAAGTTTATGATATATGGTGAGCAAAAAATTATTTTATAGGTGCCCTGAACCTCAAGAGTTCCTAGTAAGAGAAACTGGTAAAAGAGGAACCGACAAGAGCTACATAGAGTTGTTAAAATACCTGGCTGGCTGTACAGTACTTTTACACATACTTTACCTTCTAAGCATGACAGAGTATTTGATATTTATATTTATACTATATTGCAGTCATTTATCCCATTTTGATGGGTGTCCTGCATAACCTACCCCTGCAGAGTGATACACTGACACAAACTCTCCATCCAGCTGCCACACAACATCGCCCTGAAATACTCTGAGCGTGCACACAGAATGGCCCTGTGGGAAAGGAGAAACACACATACACACAGACAACATCAGCTTCCCATATCACTCACACACGCTTCACACCACATTACCCTGGCTCGGTATTTGTAAAGCAGCCCTGGAAGATGTATGTGCATGTGTGTATTAGTGTGTATTATTCATTGACTGATATGCTTGGGCATGTAGAAAAAAGCCTAGTAAATAAAGAAGACCTCATAAAATTGGGGAAAGGAGATGTAATGGTTTATTTCAGTATTATTTTAGAAGATGACGACGACTGTGGCTCCGTCTCAAAACCTAGAGAGCTGATTAACTAGGTTTTAAACATTGTCCTTATATATA